GGTACATTGGAGCTCAAATAGAAATGTATATTTAAATTCTCTTTGAAATATCGTGTTTCTAACAGCGACATGATACAAGACACTCTATATTTTAATTTTGTTTTCCCTAGTCAACGTCGATGGTTAATTCCTTCTTTATCGTTTAGAAACATCTAGAAGTCCCACAAATTACTCAAACGCATTTGATATTTTAACTGTTTTTACTAAAATCTAAATAACAGTGATCATAATGATACAATACCGTACACAATCCCACGGATCTTTAAATCTTCTCCGACAATCCAGTACCTCGATAATCTTACAAGACATTTTGCAGTGAATGCTTCTCGTTCTGTTCCTGCTTATTTCTTGAACTTAGACACACGCTCACCCGAGAAATATGTCTTTCCTCTCTCTGCGCCTGGAACCGTCTTATTATCCTTTCAATCTCCGTAAGTGTTCTGTTATGGAAGATATACGTCGATATTATCGTTGTTATTGAGATCGCTTTATTGGGTTTCATCATCGTTTTCATCTTACGAACCCGCAGCTAGTTTTATCGTCGGCGGAGATCTATTGGCCGAAGAGCCGCACAAGATACATCAAAATTGCCCAAGAAATGTTGGTTTACCCAAGTAGATGTTCACGACGAGTCCGTGCGCGAAAAATTCGTTCCACGTACAAATGGTTCGTGATCGTTCGTCAAGGGTCAATTCGTGCAACGTAATTTAAAATAGTATTTCTTGGCACTGAGCACGTGGAAAGGTACCGCGATGGGTTGGGTAGAATATTAAATTCTACTCCTGGTTGAATTAATATCTCAACATTTTTAATATTCCTAATCTTTATTATACGTTTCAGGTATGTGACATCCCCAACGTTTTCTTCTAAAGCAAATCACTTATCGCAAACTCGTTCCGTGATCTTTTTACTTCGCGTAGGTCAGAATTTAGAAAAAAATACCCTTATCATAGGATGTCTAAGGAATATTCAAGAATTTTTTGGACATAAAATAATAAATATTTTAAACGCGACAGCTATTTGAAGTTGTTGGAGTGCGCTGCACCCCTTATATTCACTATAGAGTTGGTATGCTGTGTATACAATAAAGATTAATACGTATTATTTTAATACGATTCATTTTTTAACTATTTGTTTAACTTTTGATATTTTTAAAGTTACTTGATCTTGAGAATAGTAGCGTTAGTTTATTCTCTTAATTTGTAAATAGATAATTGCTACTAAACTAATGCTACTATTCTCAAAATCAAGTAACTTTAAAAATATCAAAAGTCAATTATATATACCACTATATTTGCATTCGAAACGTTTCGGATATTTGAATAGAAAATGTATTCCACTGTAAAAATATTAGCCAAAGTAATAAGGTAGTCGCATTAAGATTGTTCAAATTGAACAACAATCGCAACGGTTAATAACTATAGAGAATGCGAGATAAATTAAAGTGTCTTGGATCGGCAGAAAGGAAAAGGGAAACAAAAATTATTTACCATTCAGTCCATCGGGGTCCCATTGTCAAACTCATTTCCACCAATAACCAGTTTCCGTTTGTTTTTATCGAAACGTCTGAAGTCACAACGTGCAGAACTATCCCGAAGAACCTATAATTTCAAACAGTCGGCGTTTCTTCAGTAGTCCTGTGTAGCACACTGTTTAAGTAGCCGCAAACGACGCGACGTGTCGCATTCTACCGGTAACTCGATTCTACAATGAATTTGTACTTGAATAGGATCAATGGGTGTCGTTTTAGCCGTGCACAGAAGGCATTCAATGAATTCAAATGCATGGGCCTCTGTGACAATAGATGATTTACACCTTGCGCGCTCGAGGTGACAGTCGCCTCTAAGAAAGTTCGATCAAGCATTTCTGTAGATTGGAAATCGCTTGTGAGATTCGTTGTGCACGGACGTACAATGTTTCGTATGGAAAATCCTCCACTTGCTTACTGATTTGTCCCTGCGAAATGCTCTACAAGTAAATCAACGTTTTCGGTTAGCATAGGAACTGAAGCCGAGGATAGAACATTTTCTTCGTCAATTGCAACATGCAACGATCAGAAAGTTCTTATTTTCTTTAATAATTTCAACGAGTTAAAAATAATATGCAGACATTCTCGAACACTTTCAATCTTTCTACCGTTTTAAATTGCAGCAACTCATTTTTGTCGTGAATGCATAAAATCTGCGGCACATTCTGATATATTAAAGATGGCTGAACCAAGCAGTTTTCAATACCTTACATTTTCTTCTTAAATTCTTTTAACTTTCATTTATCCATTGTTGACGTAAATGTATAAAGTTCGTAGTCTACTGATAAAGCAACTGATTTACTGCAAAGTTTGACTCTTTCATCCGTCTAACAGTTTTTTTAATTTACTATAATATCATCTACGAAGAGAAGTTTATCAAAACAAAACTCACGATTATGATTTTTTTTACAACTTTTTTGTCTTTTCGTTTTGGATTTTTAGTATACGCGTGTGAAAGAAGCGATCTATAAATGCCACATTTGAGGAGGTAATTTCTAAGAAATACTAAACAATAATTGGCAGGGATTCTGGCCGATTAATATTTAGTATAATATATTTTATTTAAATTTTACTGGATGTATTTTTCATGTAGTGTCTCAAAAAATTCTACACAATTTTTTGGACTCATATATATACTAAAATGAGTTCAAAAAATTACTTACGCCAATACTTACGCCAATATAGAAAAACCCAAAAAGTCAACATAATTTACAAAAAAAGGTCGTTTAAAGCCATTTTAGAGAATGGCCTCATATCAGTTAATGGGAGATCGGATGCTAACTTCTAATCACTGTTTTTCCTAAAGTAATTAGTGGATTGTGGAATTTTATGCATTTATAGCACAAGTGAATAGGTGAAATACAAAATTTCTGAGGCATTAAACGAAACATTATTACACTATTTTTGACTTGCTAAAACTGTTAAAAGGAGTGATTCATTTTTTTTTAATTTTTATTTTTTACGATTGTCTTGGCCTATTTTTATCGTCTATAAAGATCCGTGGTCTACTAATTGGACATCTGGGTAACTTGCCTTGTTAGTTGGATATCTTCTATAAAAATATCACCGCCGAAAGCTAGTGGACGATCTTCAATACGAGCCACAGTAGATGCGCGTTACGTATGTTAAGACACATGTGTAAATTAACATGTAAGTCGAGAACAAGTGACCGTATGTTCCATGTGATATCTCCGCTGGCTTCTCAAATTCCTTCTCATTCTGTGCGATGCTTCTGCGGCCACAGCCACAGCTGCCAGAGTTCCGTCTACGCCTGTCGTCGCTTTTTCCGCCCCACTCAAAGTCTGCGTCGTTTATCCGCTCTTTCCGTCGTCGTCTCACTCTCCTCAGGAATGAATCAAACCTCTGTGAGTTGTACAGCATCCAGCGGATTTTCGATTGGACGAGCAATCGCTGGAAGGAAATTGTGTCATTAACCCGTTCATTCTGACATTTTTCGCGAGCGCCGTTTTCCCGGTCGAAAATCGAAATAGGTCGCGTAATTTGAAATATAGGATTTTTGTTTCTATACTGCTCGAACCTCCATTTTTCAGCTTTTGAAAATGTAGGATATTTGCCGAAGAAATACACGATGCATTTTAATTTAGAAAAAGCAGGTAATTTTTTATATCGATAAAATATTCTTTTTTATAAAAATATAATTTATAATATTATTTATTGAAATTTATCTTACCGTTCGGACACCGAGTCCTGGATCGTTATTTAAATATAATTTGGTATTTTCAGCCACATTGTTGTGAAAATGGTCCGCTGTCCAAGTGTTAATGAATTATCTAAAAATTTATATTAACACTGTCAGAAACTAAATAGTAAAATAATATTTATACTCTAGGTTCAAATGGACCCGAGCAACGACGTTCGGATGTTAATATACATATGTTGAAACATCAAATGACAAGGTTAATCAAAGCTGCGGTTGTTGGTGCATCTATGTACACGCAAACGTGAATATTTTCAAGCAAAAGTATATAGTCTATAAACGTTCTTTATTTATTTTTATCGCGAAGAATCTTCTAATTGTTGAACAAAATATTATATACGGGGTTGGCCGGAATTCGTAGTACAACCAAGCAGAGGGTGATTCTACGCGATGAAATAAGAAACAAATTTGATATAACATTTTTTTATCTAGGGCTCCGTTTTAGAGAAAATCAACTTTGTAAAGCATCTAGTTGTCCATTCGTCTACCGCAGATAATGTCTGTCCAAGATAATGTTTACGAATATTGAAAATAATGGAAACATTCCGTTTACTACTGTCCGTTGCTCAGAAAAAGTTTGTCGTTTCGGTAGAGGGGCAGGGGGGGGGGGGTATTCTGCTCGCTCCGCCTAACCTGCACGCCCGTATAGCCCTCACATTTCTATGATCTCCTGAAACCCACTCCTGTTGGTAAACGAGAAAACCCACGAATTCTTGCTCAGCACGTAACTTAGCTATTAATAATCAAAAGTCTTAAAACTGTAAAAGGCTAGGTGGAGCGGGTGACCGATTCCCCTTACCCCTCGACCCTTGCGTCATTTATGCGTAGTGTTTGATTTTCTCGTTTTCCGATATTACCTTCAGGTTTTTAACGTTATACGTTAACACTTAGCCAACCGAACGGGGAGATCTAGCCGTTTTAAATTCAGTCGGTTGACGATCGAATGGATGATTAATCAAAAATTAAAAATGATTGCTTAATTTTATTAAGATTTGCAAGAGGTACGAATGCTGAAGAAGTGATCGATGCCATATAAGTTTGCTTCATAATTTTGGTTTAATCGAATGGAATATTTTAATTTTATGAAAATTTTTGAGCTTCCAAGCGCGGTCGTGGAAGTGTTTAACATAGCCGTAAGATATCATATGATACAATGTAAATATAGAAAATGTTAATATTAATGTTAATTTTAATATTAATACTTTGTATTATTATCTCGATTGTTCTACGTCTCGTGGTTCCCGTCGCGCGACTCGCTCGGCCGTGGTCGCGTAAGTAATACACAATACACGCACATACACACACAGAAAGCGCAGGCACACGCGTCTGATGTGCTCCTAGCCGAAAATGGGCAATCGCAGGGGAGCGAGACGTGACGGGAGTCAGGAGGCGTTGTTTGTTTTTATTCGGCCGGACTCGTGTCCTTCGTTTCGTGGAAATTCAGTGCTGCGGCTAATTTGGAGCTAATAGCAAGGGATCATTTCTGCCAATAAGAAAAACGCGTTTACCCTACTTCTGCGGGGGCGTTAACATGGCTAGATTGATAGGAATCGGCCCTACACTTTTTTTAACAAACTTTTTCCGAGTAACGGGCAGTACATAATTTGCTACAATTAACACGTTCCGTGCCACGTGTACCATCGATGGTACACGCTTGCATGTTTACTTAGTGAACTGAACAAATTGTTTACAAGAAATTTAGAACCGAAGAATCAATTTCCACCGCAAGAATGGGCGTTGATAAGTTTTTGTTACGTTGTTATGTGTACGAGAATTAATAATTGCACGTAATACATCAAGTTTTAGTAAAATATCAAAGTGTGAAGATTCGAGTAAAAAAAGCTCGGCACGGAACGTGTTAATGTTTGTGTTAACATTATCTCGGACAGAGATAGCTGCGATAGAAGAATAGACGACAACTAAATTCCTTACAAACATGTACACACTTTAAAGTCGATTTTCTCGAAAACGAAGCCTCGAATAAAAAATGTTATACGAAATTTGTTCTTCATTTTTTCACGTTGAAGCATCCTCTGTTCGATTGTATTACGAATACCGACCCATCCTGTATTTTTCGTTAATATCTACATCGTGATCTTAAACTAGCTAATTTGTATACAAACCTACAATTTTATCAATTTCAAAATAAAACTGATCTTATTTTATCGATTAAATGCTTCTTTTCACTAAAAGCGACATAAAACTGTTGACTCGAGGTAAACGTTTGCATTTTACAATCATGCAAATTACATAAATACATAAAGATCCGAACAACAGTGATTTTAATACACGGAACATTCTGGTGATCATTAAATCCTCTTATTAAATATCGACATTACAGTCCCCGGTATTACAATTATCGATGTTACAATCTATGGAAATTAAGGCACAGTAAAACGTGGGCACTTGTTCCGTCGACATGAAAATTGACTCCGCTGTGATCGCGTAATTAAAATGTAACTAAGTAATTATATAAATAATTGTACGTAAATGTTCAATAAGCAGGATAATTATGGAAAAGAATCATAGCGAGAAGAATGTCAGATAAAAGGATACCAGGACCGATTTAATCGCGCAGAACAAAACTACTTTCACTTTTTATTTGCGGTCATTGAAATCAAGGGAGGGGTACTGGTATAATTAAATTCTTTGTTCGTCGCGTTATCGTATCCATTTGTTACGATGCAGCGGCCTTGCGAGTAACGGAGAGACCTCGATTTATTACCAACATCGATATTCCCCGGGTTTTATCAATTATTAAGGAACTGGAACTTTGAAATTTAATTTTGTTGTCCAAGGACGACCCTGAATCTATACGAATATCATGATTCACGAACTTCTATATTTTCTTACGTTTTCTCTTAAATTCGTCATTTCTCATCGAATATGAAAACGTGACCTGGTAACCCATGCTGGAAACGAATCGAATATTCTGATTTGCGACTGAATTTCCATCAGCTTCGACGTATTTTTCCAGGTATTTGGAGTACCGAGCAAAATCTCTGTCGCTTGCAAAAATTATTTTTAGGAACGTCAATTTCTTGTTTGACCATGGGGATTGAATTTATATACATATTGAACGCAAAGAGAAATATATTTAGCGATATACAACCTATATAAATTGTTTTATTATTTTTTTCTGACTGTGAGCTATATTATAGTAGTACAATCAGCCATTTGTATTCTGTTTACTGAAAGTGCCAATAATTATTGCTTATAAATGATAAAATTCTTTCCAAAACGACGGAATACTTGTTTTATTTTATTATTTTATTTATATTTATTTTATTATTTTTATTTTATTAGTATTTATTTATAATTGAGATCATATTAGTTGTTAACACTCCATGCACATTTTACTGCATTTCTTAATGGAGTAGTCAACGGAAACTAGTAAATTCTCCCTAATTGACGCTCAGATTGTGCACAATTGTGTCTTGCGGTGACTACGAAAACGAGCCCCAAATCTCCAATAATCATATTCCCTCTTCCCAAATTGTCCATTTTTGTGTACAATCTGAGCGTCAATTAGGGAAAATTTACTGTCCATCAATTTAAGTTTGTCTTAATCAAAGCTTTCACGATAAGAACAGATTGCACGAAGAGTTCGGAACACAAGTACAGTAGATACGAATTCTTAAATCAACCAATATTGTAACAGGCATGATCTTTCGGACAAACAAACTCAAACTTACTATACATTGGCAAGGAATCTACAATTAATATGCTAATACTTCAATCAACAAAACCATGTCGCCTGATTTCTTGCATAATTGATTCGTAGTCGAAACATGCATAAACATTTAACAAGAAAGTTATACAAGAAATATACTTGGAAAAACACTTACTGCTTGGTATTCACTGTCTTCCGGTGAATTGACACGACGTTTGTTGCAAGCAACGATAAGAAACTAGTTCCAAATGCGGCCACTTGCTATCTATGCTAAATTATTATCGTTGCTAAGCTTCGTTGCCGCTCGTGAAGATTTTGGGATTACTTGAAATTTTAAATTCCACTAAGGTAACCTGTTGATACATTTTATGCGTCATAACATAATGGAGAGAGTATATATAGATATAACATGCAAGGTTCTGTACTAGATATGTATTTATAAAAATGCGGAACTAAGCAGGTCAAACTTTTTGGAAGGTTTATACTTCATTTTATTGTTATTTTACGTTTCAGTAAAACTTTTATTACTTTACTGCACAACGAGTTACGAACTAGATTCTAACTTCACCGAAATGAAGGTAAACTAAACATCTGGTAGTGACGCGGTCTGAGAAAAGCTTCCAAGAGACCATTTGCAAATTCTAAACGAAAATATGTTTGTATTTTAATAAATTGATTCATTCTTCAAATATTATATAATATAAATTCAAATGCTATAAAAAATGCTATAAAATGCTTATGCTATTGATTAAATGCTATAAAAAACAATGAAAAATTATTTAAATGTATTGAAAATGGATATTTTTCATTTTTATAATATCCATAAAAAACTTTCTAAAATTTTATATTGTTTATTTTTTTAATTGGTATTTTATAATTAAGTTAAGGAAATGTTGGTCTCAAACCGTAAGAAATATAACTTTTTATCGGCAGAGACTTATAGGAGAAAACACGGACGGAATACAATATTTAGACTGCGCATTTCTATGCGAACAAAAATAGGACTCTCAGATCGACCCCCTATTCTTTTTTTAATACTTTGGATAATTATTTAAAGGTATTTATTAGCTAATACTTGAAAGTAGTTGACATTAGTACGTTGATATTTCCACTTTTTATCTGTTTTAGATTGCACCTACTCACTTTCACACACAAATGCACAAAATCCAGTTTAACAATATTTCTACTGGTTTGACACTATCATTCCCATTTCTAAATAACGCAATATCATTAAGCAGACATTTAGCACCTACAAATGGATTTTTTACGACGTCATTTTTTATTATAACGTTTTGTGGTGAACGTTGTTTTTTCAACAAATTCCTTCTTTACAGTCTTCCCTTCTCGTACGGACAAGTACACTAATTGACTAGATTAGAATCATAGTGGTGGTA